AAAACTGATCAAGACGGCTGATAAACGAGCCGAATTTGTAAACAAATATGTTTTTAAAGGTTTTTTAGTAGTTTTCTCGCTTTCGATTTGTGAAAATCTAGCGAGAACTAAACACTGAACTATAATATTAGCCCGTGACTGTAACCAACCAAGTTTGTTCAGTATGATTTCTGAGGCGTCTGTTAGCCGTTTGGCTTTTCAATAGCTAGGTAGCTTATGCTAAGGCTAGCGTCTCTTCTGACAACCAGGAGAGACGCAAGACGGCGTGCTGACGTCAAACGCTGCCGTAAGTGCTGCAATAGAAGGCTGTTCGAAACTAATATAAACAGAGCGGCCTTCACTTGAAAGTGATGCCTTCTGAGGCAGCTGTTGCGGGATCGAGGCAGCGAGGCAACTGCCTTCCGTTTTGAACACAGCCATAGTCTGGTTTATTAGAAGTAAGAAGAGAAGTGGTATTTGGACAAATGGAGGACCACACGTATCATTTAGCACAAGAGCCGACAGAGGCCACCATAGCATCTCCTGTGTCCTTGCAAAGGGAAGGGTGAGTGGTGTCAGAATAATTTGCGATATTTATTATTGTCTGTGTGGTATTTATATGCTCTGATAAAGAGCATAAAATCCAACACATCTTTGTGGTAGCGTTCATGTTGACTCCACATTCTGACTTAAGAGCACATAAATGCACAGCAATTCGCAATCCTCACAACTAGATGCCACTAAAACTTACACACTGAACCGTTTAAGAGTGGCCAATTGAGTATATTGAGCTTTGCAGACTGGCATAGGCTGATGCTGACTAATCTGTCAACCACTTGTGAATATCATTAGATCAAGTGATATGTAACTAACTTTTTTTTTTAATACAAATTCCTCTCTCATTGTCCTTACGATATCTTTATTCAATTGACCAGATATAACAGAATTTAGTTCTTAGCTGCACATTTGATTTCAGTGACTGCACGTCTGCCTTTTCTTGTTTTAAAGGCGTTACTCCAGTGCGTCCTCCCATACCAGTGCTTCCCCAGGTTGGTCTTGTGAACCCCGTGCTGGCATCACCACCAGTCCTGTCTAATCAAGCTGGTGGCTCCAACCAACAAGAGAGGAAAGAAGAGAAAGAGGAGATGCTGCAGGATGGCACAGGGCAGGAGATGTTGAGCGACCAAGAGCACATGAGCATCTCAGGCAGCAGTGCCAGACATATGGTGATGCAGAAACTGCTTAGAAAATCAGAGGTGAGATTTGAGATACGAGGGGGGCGAGTAAAAGACAAAGGTTTCACATGATCATAATTTATTTTTTATTTTTTTTTCATTAAATTCTTGCATTGCTCCTCTCCAGTCAACGGTGATGGTGCTTCGAAATATGGTTGGACCAGAGGACATTGACGACGACCTGGAGGGTGAGGTGACAGAAGAGTGTGGGAAGTTTGGCTGTGTCAACAGAGTCATCATATACCAGGAAAAGCAAGGAGAAGAGGAGGATGCAGATATCATTGTCAAAATATTTGTAGAGTTTTCCATGGCCTCAGAGATGAACAAAGCCATCCAGGCCCTCAATGACCGCTGGTTCGGTGGTCGCAAAGTTGTCGCAGAGGTGTACGACCAAGACCGTTTCAACAGCAGTGACCTCTCGGCATGAAGTGTCAGAATGGTTCACCAGCGCCCATCCCTGTACCTGTCGCCCAAACTCATTTCTGCCCCAGTCACTGCAGCTAGAGATGCGGGCCTCTAAAACTTGTAATTATGTTTTTATTTTCTTTTTTATTATTGCTGTTGATATTAATGTTAAACCACCGCATTGGGGGATTCATGAAAAATATTTACTTGTCAGATTTTGCTTTGTGATCTGTGAAGACTCCTTTCTGGTGTAGGTTTCAAATGTTTTGTAATCTGACCTTGTAAACCATTGAAGTTTTCCTGCTTTAGCTCCCCTTTCTTTTTGATTTTTTTTTTGTTTCATGAAATTGCCGGGACATGTAAACACTTCTTTCTACAATAAAAGGTTATTGTTTGTCCACAAAAAGTGTGATGCAAATTTTTTATGAATAGTTGTGAATGAAGGACCGTTTTGATGTATTTGTAAAAATGCTTCAGTGTTTCGGCTGTGGAACATTTTATTCACAAGTAAAAACATGTAATTAAAGCATCTGATGTCCAGAATTAAATTTGTTATTCACAAATGCTTTAGTTGTGTTTGTACAGAGTGAACAACTTACATGTATAAGAACCCTTAAGACTTTTGAGCAGAGGGATATTTATTTTATCATTTTTGTAAGGCTTTAGTTTGTAGAGATAATGGACTATCTTAGTCTACCTGTGACTACTCTTGTTTGTGTTGCCATAAACCGCTTCACTTGTCACAATAGGTTTGTATTTTGTGGCAGAAACATCCTAAATGATTTTGCCCTGCATTGTTGCCAAGTATTTTTGTCACCCTCCATCTCTGTAGTAGCACCATAATTAAAGTTGGTGGCACTGTCATTTATTTAAAGTCAAACAACCTGACTTTTTTACATGTGGGTATTCGAAATTAATAGTATATAGAATATGTAGTGTATCACCTTGGTGAAGTAAAGATTGAAATGAGTTCATAAGGGGTAATTTGCTTAAGGAAATGAAAGTCATTTTTGAGTATATTTAATGATACATTGTAAACTAGTATGAGAATTATGCTGCATTCAGAAATGCTCGGAAGTGGGAAATTGCCATGTTAATATTTTTAACCTCAAAGCGTTTCAGGGGGATGCTGATTTATGAACGAAAAACAGCTGACCGTGACAAACTCTTTGTCAAGCGTGCACGCAGTTGCACCCTCAGCAGTGCCCTTTGTGTTAATATAAAGGATGGCCGTTAGCAACATCAAATGTTGTAGTGTATACATGCTAATGTTGTGAAATGTTTAGGCATTTTAAACATTTTACTGAATAGCTTTTGTGCAGAGAAGACGATTTTCAGAGATTCTTTGCTATAACTGATAACGTTGACAACATTTTTCTACATCAGTTTAATTTAATATCACTCTGATGAAGAGCTGACCTTTGATTCACGGTGTCAGGAACAATTCCTGTATAATAACCCAGTAACTCTGACTGTATTGTATACTGTATATATGATATCCACCTACCTCACTTATATAACACCTGCACTTATCCCTAGTTATTCCTGCATCCTTTGCGCTCTGCTCCATCGCACGTGTGTGTGTGTGTATATATATGTATATATATATCCACCCTCGACATGTACATGATGATGATAATAATTTTCTCCAACATCCTTTGCACTCTGCTCATTTCACTATTGTCTCGATCTGTCTAGATTTTGGTTTATGGTGTATGTATATATATGTGTTGTCTGATTCTTTATTATATGAGTAAGCACATCGTGAGTAATGTATGATTCAGAGTCAAATTTCTCGTATGTGTACTTATACCTGGCAAATAAAGCCAAATTAAATTAAATTAAATACATGCAAATATACTTTATGTTGCCTTTTAGTTGGTTTACCAATTATAATGTGCTTCCGCGGGAGCTGTCCTCGTTGTGTAACGTCAATTTGCATCACTGTGGACAAATGTATTGTCTGGATTCCCTGAAAATGAGAAAACAATTATGTTCAGAATATTATGTGATGAATTTAGAGATTAATTTATTGGTATAAGACAAAATTTCTGTGAAAATAAAGCCAAGCTTTCTGAAGCTGGCTGCTAATATTAAGAAATATATTTTTCCATATCTAAGTGTACAACCGAAAGGCTGTTAAATCATTTGAAGCTTTACAAAATAATATATTTAAATTATTTTTAATAATTCGTTTTGGCTATATTTTCTTTTTAATAACCTTGACCTCCCTGGCTTATTTCTGACTTGAGATGATGATGATGATGAAGAAGATGATGTTTAACTCTTAACAATAAACCAACAACGTGGTTGAAGGTTTGAAACTTTGAATAATTGCGTGAAATCACTTACTGCAGATATTTTTTTGCCAACTTGTCATTTGTAATATGGTATGAGGCTATAATTTTTACGTTGCTGTCCATGTAGAGTGACCTAGATTAATTAGTTATTTATTAGCAGAATTTGCAGTACAATCAATATTTTAATGGTTTCAGGTAATGTACTGGTGCAGTAACAACTGTTTCAATCACAATCCAACGCAACCGTCCATGTTGTTTCCACATCCCGCCTTAGAAGGTGATACTTTTACTGTCACATACATTCATTCTCTGGGCAGCCGCAGCGCAGCGCCCGGGGACCAACTCCACATGTTTATCAGTGTCTGGTCAAACGGCACTGACTGGAGAAACTCACTTGTTTTTGATGGTGGGGGAAATCCACGCAGAACTTCACACAGAAAGGACGGGACGACCGGGGATTGAACCTTCTTGCTGCGAGTCCACAGTGCTATCCACTGGATCCCCGCCCATTAAAGCACATGAACACATCGAAGTCGGAAGAACCCCTTCATAGAACCCCGAGACTGTGGAATAATCTACTGCTGATTATTAGATCATCACCCCACACTTTAAAGTCTCGACTTAAAACATATTTTTATTCTTTGACGTTTGAGTCTGTTTAGGAGCACCTGCGCTCGTGTTTTTATTTATCTATTTTGTATCTAACTGTGTTGTTTTTCTATCTTATTGCTGTATGTCATTAATTGTTTGGCCTGTTTTAATATATCTGATTTAAATTTTTATGTCTTCTACTGTATAACTTTGACCAGCACTTTGGTCAACTCTGGTTGTTGTTTAAATGTGCTTTATAAATAAACTTGACGTTCACAAGCACGTGAATGCAGCATAAGTCCCACTTCAAGTGGAATTCAATGATACTTTTTCTAGCTAGAGGTGGGAAATTTCCGAGTTGCCTGGAACGCAACATTAGTGGTTCTTTGTGAGTTGAAGCTAACTGCTATCCGCCGCTAGGTGGCGCTAGACAGTAACGCGTGTGGCCTGCGCTCCAGCCCAGCCCCCCACACGCCAAACCGGCCTGCCTTGGCTCGACAAGGGGAGGGAGACGCGGCTGTTGCTGAATCTACTGCTCTTGCTGGTGGCATTTTACGTACGTCGCATTAAAACAGCAGTCACGGAGCCGTTTTTTTTAACGTGTTTTGGAATGTTGCTGTTAAACACAACCGGTCAGTTAAGAAGATGTTTCCGTAGCTCTCGTTATACTAACGTTAGTTAACGGCAGTTAGGCACAAAGGCGTTCAGTCAGCTACTAGCCTAGGTTAGCTACGGGTAACTAGCTTGCTAACAACACAGCCGGTGAGGACGAGCACATCCTTGCGCAGCCATACTCGGGTTAATCTCTGCTGGCTCGCTCCGCCGGTTACGTTAGCCGTTTTGTGGTAGTGATTTATCTGTAAGTCAAGTGGTTGTTTTAGCACTCGCCACTCATGCCTCTGATACTTAAAGCAACGGTACCGCATAGCTGGGTCGTTGGTTGCATGTTTTTCAGCTAGTAGCCGCGACTGGGCTTCGGGCTCATACAGGGATGGTGGCGGTAGCAAAACAAGCTAACGTTACTCCGTATCTGCGAAGAAGTGAGTGCGAGAAGTGAGGAGACACTTCGGCCAAGTGGGAGTTCTCAGTTTTGTTTATGTTACTTGTAATTTCGGGGGTGAATGACGCGGGGACGCGCCTGACTATCCTTGAACGCTGCTTGAACTGAAACTGGAGAAATCGCTAACAGATCGAAGGGGATTATTTTTGTGTCTCTAAGTGGATTCGGCCTCCTGTTCAGAATCGTCGTGGGAACACAGCAAGTGATTTGACCTTGAGTGAGCCCACTCCCACAAAATATCTAATCTCCCGCCGACCCCCCTTGCTTCACCCTCCGATGCGGAGACTTCAGTAGCACCGGCAACCCTATCCCCCACGGCGGCCGGACATGCTGAAGTGTATCCCCCTGTGGCGCTGCAACCGCCACGTCGAGTCGGTGGACAAGCGGCATTGCAACTTGCAGACAGTCCCTGATGAGGTGTTCCGCTACAGTCGCAGCCTGGAAGAACTTCTCCTCGATGCCAACCAACTCAAAGAGCTACCAAAGGTATGCACGTTTCACACATGAAGCACGTCTCCCCCGTGCCTAATTCACTAATGTGACTGATGGACATGGTATGTTGATGGTTTTCTTGGTTTAACCCCGTCAAATCCATCCTGCAACGCTACACACCTGCACATAGTTTATTTACTTAGGTGAAAAGCAAAGGTCACTGCCAGGGGACAGTAAATAGCTTTCATGTTATCACCTGCTCAGGTACTTCCTTTTCAGAAGGATACCGCCCTCCTTACCCCCTTGGAAATGGGTTTGGTCACTCTGCCCTGTAGTGCTGTAACAGCATTAGATGCTGAAAGCAAAAAAACTTGTGTTTCAACCAGGCATTGCAGATGACATGTTTTGTTCTGCATATATATAAGTTAATAACAGTATTAAAATCAGCAACAAATGAGTCAGGATGTTACTTTTTGCGTGGCAGTAGATTTCCAACAACACTGGAGCTTTTAATTAACTTGTGTGAAAGAAAATAAAGTGGAGATAAATGGACCAGGGTGATTGGATGTTTTAGTCAGTAAGGCAGCTGCAGGGTGGAAATGCTGCATTTTCAGAGGGACTAACCCTGACCAAAACAGCTGGCACACAACGTGTTGCCTGTAGTAATGGCATTAGTGGCCTCTTAAATTGGATGCAGTGTGGGGAGACATGCGTGGAATGAAGTGCAACACTGTCCCCACCCATACGCCCACTATTTGAAATATGACAAAAGCTCTCTTTGCACAGGCAACAGTTTATTTTAAGAGGGGCAGAAATGTTGATCTGTTTTCCCTGTAGCTCTCCAGAGCTTTGGAACAAACTTGCTCGACTTTATCCTTGTTTTATACAGTTCAAGACATTGTTCATTACAGGGACACTGGCTGTGATTGTGATGGAGCAGGGAGTTTATATTCATAGACGTTGTCAGTCTCCCACATTTCACGGCTTTAGCTTAGCAGTGACAGGGACAAGTGGCACATTCACTAATGATGATTGTTAACAAGTCGAGGGACTGTTACCTTCTGGCAGTCATAAACAATAGAACTTTTTTGTTCATCTTCCAGCAATGGATGTATTTGCATTTGTTTTGAACAATCTCTTTGCTTCGACGTGTGTTACTTTTTACACACAAGAGTACTTATTTTAGATCAGCCCTCCTTGAGTTACTTTGATCAAAGATGGCCTTGTGCGTAACTACTCCGGGGACACAAACTTGGCTGTTGTTTTCACTGTTTTGGCACAGACGGACAGAGCTAGTCACACACAAACATGCAGTGGTTGCTGAATATTTAATGTGTCTTCAGTGTAGTCAGGGCCTTGTCTTGGCACAAAAACCGAGGCCTGCGTTGCCTGATCAGGCTAACCTGCAGACAGTGTGTGTTCCCCCCACACCATACCTGTCAGATATCCACAGTGTACCTGGTGCATGGCCCCTGAAGATACAGAGTGACGGACACACTCAAATAATCCGGCACAACTAACTGACACAGTCTCTCTGTGTGGGTCTGGCTTCAACCAGGAGACATAGATGCGTGCTGACAGACTGTCTCATGTGGTCTTGGTGAATGCATAGCGTGCAGACACAAAGCATATGGGCCCTCTCTGGTGCTCGGAGTCAGCGGGGCTTCAGCGAGGGAGCAGTGTGAGAGGTCAGGCTCATACAGTGTTGGGAACAAGGGCACTGAATGTATGATGAATGGCATTACCATAATGAGCTCATAAGTGAGTAAGAGTCTGAATGTCTTTATGCATTTATGGGCTCCTTCCCTGTCACTGTGTATTAAAGTCAGAGATGAGTCTGTGGACTTGTCAGTCTTTGGCTATATTTAGATGTCAGTCTTTAACGTCCCGGGTCATTTTTGCTCATCAGTTCATCCCATGTTTGCAAATGAGCCTGCCTTTCCACACAAGCAGTATGGATGAATTTTGGCATGTGTATTGGCTGAACCACCATGCACAACATGTGACACCTTCGCAGACTATCACTCTATTAAAGGTGGGCTGCAAACTGTCCTGGGACACAGTCACAAGCTTATAGGCCAGTCAGGCACAGCATTGTTTCAGTTAAGTGGATTTATGTGTGCAGAAACCTTTTGAAACAATCAAAGTATGACGATCAATACAGCCATTACATGACAAACACACATAAGTGGTGACTAGTTTTAAATGAATAATGAACAGTAAAACAATTGTGGTGTGTATTTAAAGTGGTGCTTCTGGGGGTTGGTAGGTCTTGATCGTATTGGTAGGGGTTTAACGTAGTGAACAGATGGAGATTTAGACGTCCTGACACATTTCTTAGGTTTGCTGTGACTCACCCCGACCACACTGCCCACCAATCTTAGATTATGCTCTCTGCGGCAATGATGTCTGCATTTGCCACATCAAGAACATAGCTTAGGTTGTTAAAAAAAGAAATTTAGAATGACTGTTTTTCAGTTTTTGTCTGATTTAGGACAAGATCATATCCAGGCAGTGATTATGCGACATGAAGTCGTGGCATAAAGTATGACATATCTGGAATAACTTTAGAGAACCAGTTAAATAGGCAGCTGGTCAGGAATTCCCCTCATGTCCATACATCCTTAGTCCTTAATGCTGCACCGCAGCTCTGTCTTGTCATTGCACAAAAATTAATCCCAGATAGACAAAGAGCCTGTGACAGGTCTTTTGTTTTGCTATTGGGACATTACTTTTCATGTAGTTTACCTATGAAGGCGCTATGATGATCTCTGATGATGAAACTCCAGAACATAAAGGGAGAAACCATTGATTGCTTTTTTATATTTTAATTTATATAAACTGACAGACCTCTACATGCCCTACAATCCATATTTTCCCACACTTGTTCTGTGTTTTCAGCAGGGAAGTTTCCACTAAAGTAATCTCAATTTCTTTTTGCTGCTTTGACAAACTAACCGTGCCTCAAAGATCATGTTGAGGAAGAGGGAATTATCTTTTTAGCTGTTCTCAAGTCCCATGACAGGTTACAAAGAAGTCCATTCAGAAGTCCGATTGCCCCCTCCACCCCCCCATATCCAATGTCATGGCTCTTTGTGTCTCTTGTGTGCACTGCAATGCCCCTGACCAGGCGTACATTAAGTCTGCAAGCATGTCATGACTCAAATGATCACTTTTAAGATTTGTTGTAGGTCAGTTACACCTGCTGAAAACCCACACGCGGGTTCCTTTTTTGGAGGAAACTGGTGGGCTGCAGGTGTAGTAGGCAGCAGCTTAAACAACGGCTCTAACACAAGAATACAACAGAGTTTCTCTACTTGCTGTTGTGTTGGCTTTTCCATTGTTGAAACAGGGAACAAATCCCTGATGGGTGTGTTCCCATCAGACTTTGTGAAACAGGTTTTATGCATGTTGCTCCCAGTATTACCTAATGGGATCTTCCAGGTACACTTGATATGTTACAGTAAGGACTTCCTGCCTCAACACTTGCTGCAACTAGAAATATGACAACTGCTGGGCTGTGAGGAAATGTCTAATTCTTTCACCAATTGATCTTCCCCTATGCATAAGAGTACACTACTAATTGGAGGCCAGGTTTTGTCTGACAAGAGAAAATGAGATGTGTAGATATTTTGTTGTCTGAATGAAAGGAGGAGGTATATGTGCATGATAAATAGGAAGGATGACAATGCAGTCTTTTTAATCCCCAGCTGTCACCAGTGCCCTCTCTCTCTCTGTGTGCTAACAGATCTGTGGCTAAAGGGCAGATTAGAGATCCACCCGGCCGTGAAAATGCCCCTCAGCAACACAGTTTTGACCCCCCACACACACACTTTATATATGCCAGTGCGTCTCAGTGTACGCTTCCTGTTGGATCTGCTTTTCTGCCGTTTTGGGTCTTTTTTTCGAGCACACAGATGGACTGATAAAGATCAGACTGCTTTTCTCTTTAGCCCCTTGTGTGTGTTCAACCTCGGGTCAAGAAAAACTCAAATTAGGCCTCCTCTCTCAGCTCTTGCTGAATATGAATCGGTCTACCATTGTTTGTCCAAGATTGAATAGTCATGTGTTTTGTGTGTGCTTTATTTTATAAGTCTTAAATATTATCTTAAGGAATATTGAGAATTAACTGATGGGAGAATCTGTTTATAAATCTAGGACATGTACACTCAACACGGTGTACTTACAGTGTACTTTTGGGTTCTGCTGTCTGTCTCCTCTCCCTGAGTTTCCAGTTAACTCTACAGGAGAGCCCTGGTTTGTCTCTCCCCAGTGACGGGCTGAACTAGGCTAGGACCAAAGATAAATTACACCTGCCACTGGCCTCTCTGCGGTAAAACCACATCGTTCGTCTGGCTCAGCTCTTCTGCTCGCCTCATTCCTGCTTTGGTAAAGCACGTTGAAGCCAGAGGTGCTGTTGTTCAAGAAGCGTAAATGGATCTAAAGTATGATTTGTTGTGTGAATGTTTTTGTTTTCATGACTCAAGACGTTTCCTCAATTTGTGGCTGTTATTGACTCCACCCCCACTCTGATTGTAGAGGACTACATTTGTGAGGAAAAACAGAAGTAGTGGTTTTTAAAAAAGCAACAAAAAGTTTTGTAATCAGACACCCTGCCATACAGAAATGGGTTATATCAAAGTGCCTGAAAAGTGGAAGAGGTTCAGAGCTGGTGAGACTGTAAAGAAACAGCAGTGTGAGAGATCCAAGTTTCTTTTTGATGCGGGAGCACATTCAGCAGGTTTCTTTGTCTGAGCTGATGACCAGCTGGTCTCACATCCTGCCTGCTCCCTCCCCCTAAATCTGGTGGGACAGAGGGGTATTGGGAGGTGTGTGAGAGAGAGAGAGAGAGTATGTAGTAGTAGTGGGAGGGGGGGTGTATTTTTATTCCGGAGATGGATTAACAGGAGAAGGAGGGTCTCTGGCACCTCCACTGAGAGGAAGTGATCAGGGAACTGAGCTGAGCTCTGCTGATCCGTGGTCCTCCGGGACTTTTGGTGTCGAGGCCATCCATCCATCCATGAACATCAGAATCTGGGCTGACATGCGGTGTC